CGGAAACATATGGCTGGATCGAGCCACTTCCCAGAGTGAGTTGCATCCTGGCAGGTCTCCGCTCAAAACCTTCCGTGGCAGTTTCCCGTTTCTCTTAGAATGAAACCTTGAGTCCTCACCTCGACCCATGAGGTGCCTGCAGCCTGGGCTGCTTTCTGTCATTCTCGTCACTCTTCCAGCCACAGTGACCACCGTGTTCTTGATGCCACTGGATCGGGCTTTCCCCAACACCCTCACCTCTGCTGTCCTCACTTCATACAAGTCTCTGCGCAAGGTCACTTGAGTTAAAATAGCTGTGACGGCTGGGCCGAGTGCAGTGGCGTTTACAACTAACCCATCACGGCCAGTTGCAGACTCCCTTGTTCCTTCTCTACTCCCACTGCTTCGCTTGACTAGCCTTAAAAAAGTAAGTAGCCGTCACCTCCAACCCTCTGTCACTCTTGTCCCTGCTTAAGGGTCTCTCGGCAGCTATCGCTACCTCGCTGTATTGATTCTCTTTTTGTGTGTGTCTGTTTCCTGCCCCTGCAGACACCTAAACTGACTTAATGTAAATACCGTGAAATCAGAGCCTTTGTCTTTTTCGGTACTGCTATTTTCTCTGCATAGGACAGGGTGTCCTACCTGGTAGGGATTCAGTAAATATTGGTGAGACAGACACGAAAGGAACAGCACATTTAACCATTGAAATTTTTTCCCCGTTGGCTTCTATCAGTGAAGATTAAAAATATATTGTATTTTGGGACCAGCAGTCGGTATAATGGCTATGTCGCTGGACTCCCACAAAGTCAACTGTGGTTTGAGTCCTGGACCCGGTGGCTTAAACTCACATTGGGCATGTGTGCGTGCGTGCCCAAGATCCCGAGAGGAGAATGGAGGAGAAGGGATTGCGGCGTGACCATTCCCCCTGGGGGCGTGATTTCTCGCTGTCTCTTTGTCTCTCTCTGTCTTTCTGGTGAGTGCACACGCCCTATAGCAAAAACCTCTCCAAAAAAAGAAAAGGGGCCTAATGACAATGTTATAAAAGCATAAGATGTTATAAAAATTATACATCTTTAAAATAAAATGCTAAGAAGACAGATATTTAAACATCTCCTGACGTGTGTAGCTGAGCTTGGGAGAAGTGGGAGGCTGCATTTAAGACCGCTCTCCTCTGCCCCGCTGTCCTGCCGAGCTGGTCAGAGTCCAGCCATCTAACCAGTAAATGGTTTTGTTCTGTTTTCTCAAAGGCAGAGTGGTGGGCATCCTTCAGAAGAACTGGCGGGATTACGTGGTGACATTTCCATCTAAAGAAGAGGTCCAGTCTCAGGGCAAGAATGCTCAGAAAATCCTAGTCACGCCTTGGGATTACCGAATTCCCAAAATTCGAATTAGCACTCAGCAAGCAGCAGCCCTGCAGGTAGCTCTCGTTGTCATTGTCACTGTACTGTCCTCCTCTGTCCCCGCCAGCTTTTGAGCAGTCTCAGGGAGCACTGTTACTTCCTTATAAGAGGGAATGAATTATTGATAGCATCTGGCATTCCAAGATACTGTTTTTAAAAAATTCTAAATATATAAGACCCATCTATTAAGTAGTCCATGGTTAATAAATGAGGGCTAGAGAGAAATTGTCCTAGAAAAGCGCTGTGTAGGACAACCAGAGAGAACATACATTACCCCGCTGTCCGACACAGAAACTTGGAATCGACACACCTTGCCAACACTAACAAGCTTCCCTCCAGCAAGCGGTACAGAAATACGATCGCTCCGGCCTGTAGGGATGATGTAGCGGTACTTCACGGAATTGATTATCCATAAAGGAATGCAGTACTGGAGAGAAGACATAAACCAGAAAGTTAGAAATTAACCTTTACTGTGGCAAAGAGTATAGGCACTGCCCAGTTTAAGCCACTCAGTGTTTTACAGTTTGTAGATGAGACAGTAAAGCTGGTTGTCCCTGGTCGTTGTACCTTTGCAAATATATATACACACACATATGTATATATACACACACACATATGTATATATACACACATATGTATATACACACATATGTATATATACACATATGTATATATACACACACACATATACGTGTGTGTATGTATGTGTGTATATGTGTACATATATGTATGTGTGTGTGTGTGTGTGTGTGTATATATATATATCTGGGACCAGCAGTTGGCGTAATGGCTATACCCACTAGGAGAGTAGCCACATCGCAGTCCCTTCTCTTCCCTTCTCCTTCTGGGATTTTGGGCATGCACACGTGCATGCCTGGCGTGATTTTCAAGCTACCAAGTCCAGAACTCAAACTGCAGTTGGTTATGTGGGAGTCCAACATCTTAACCACCATGCCACTGGCTGGCCCCTGTACCATTATCAGTTCTTGTAGAAAGTTATGTATTTTTCTATGTAAAAATGTGTCACGACTTTTCCAGTGACCCAGTGTTCATTGTTACTATTTTTGAAATTTGCTAAAGAGTACGTGTGTTTACCAGAAATAGAGACACAGAGAGGGAAAGCAAGCCTCCATGTCTGTGCCCCAAGCCAGGGGTGGCCGTCTGGAAGCCCAGCACCTTGCCCACCACACCACCTGCTGGTCCCGTACCTTTATATCTGAAAGCCCCAGTGAGGCTCGCGCAGGCCAGCTCTGACTCACACTTCCTGTTTCCATAGTTGGCTGGGGTTTAGGGGCACTGGAAGTTCAGTTTACGCCAGTACCTTCTTTCCCACCAAAACGTATCTTAAGACTTCAAAGAAATTAGAAGGTAAGGGAGCATCAGATGATGTCATGGCTACGTTGCTGGACTCCCATGTAGCCAGTCATGGCTCGAGTCCAGGACCTGGTGTCTTAAATTCACACCGGGCACGTGTGCGTGTGTGCCCAAGATCCCAAGAGGAGATTGGAGGAGAAGGAATTGCATTGTGGTCATCCCTCTGGGGGGTGGTTTCTTGCTTTCTATCTCTCTTTCTGGCGAGTGCACGCGCCTTATAGCAACAACCTCTCCAAAAAAAAGGAAAAGAAAAGAAATTAGAAGGTCACTCTCACACACACACACAAAATCATGATTTTTGTTTTAAAACTTCATGTGGACTTTGCATAACTGTGTTTTTCCCTTGGGCTGTGAGGGTGAACTAGAATGGACCCCAGTCGGCTTTCCGTAGCAGACTAACATTCCTAGCCCACTTATCTGAGGTACAGGGGTAACGCCCCCTTTCAGAGCATTGGGCGAAGTATTCATATACCATCTCACAGCTCGGTAAGATGGGAAGGCAGCTTGGTAAGATGGGAAGAACAAAAGCTGAAATAAACTAGCACGCCCCGTTGTCTGCAAACCAGCACGTGCGTGTCCTGTGCGTGTCCTGTGCATGTCCTGTGCGTGTCCTGTACGTGTCCTGTGCGTGTCCTGTGTGTGTCCTGTGCGTGTCCTGTGCGTGTCCTGTGCGTGTCCCGCGCGTGTCCTGTGCGTGTCCTGTGCATGTCCTGTGTGTGTGCCTGTGCGTGTCCTGTGCATGTCCTGTGTGTGTCCTGTGCGTGTCCTGTGCCTGCCTGTGTGCCTGCCCCTTGGGACTCCCAGCGCTCAGCTCATGTCTGACCTCCTCCCCACGTGCAGGACTTCAGGGTGGTTGTGCGCATCGATTCCTGGGAAGCGACGTCCGTGTATCCAAATGGACACTTCGTGCGCGTTTTAGGAAGAATCGGAGATCTGGAAGGGGAGATCGCCACCATCCTGGTGGAAAACAGCATCTCCGTCATCCCCTTCTCAGAAGCTCAGGTCAGATTTCCCAAAGGCCTTCGGTCTAGTGACAATCTCTTTTTACTTTCGTTATTGTTGCTCTTCACTAGGAAAGAAAAGCTTCAGACTGTCTAAATTCCACTGTCTAAAGCCACAGGTAGTGGAGGGAAACTGGCTCCTCTTTTTTTTTTCTGCATTTGGACCAGGCTGAAGGCAGCTTCACTCACAGATTCCTATGGTCATATGGCCTTCAGATTGTGGCTGCCCAGCTGCGCTTACAGATGGGGTGTCAGGGCCTTGTGGTCAGTGCACATCTATCCCCCGCACTGTGAGGGGAGCTAGTTACAGACACGCTGAGCTCCACTCCCGGCAGGACCACGGGAGGCTACAGTGAACAGGTTCCTCAGAACCGTGGCTCCTGACCCGTGGGTCCCCCAAATCAGGCTCTTTATCAATCAATTGTTGTAACCTTGCCAGAAAACAAAAATCCCAGGAATAGAAAACACCACCTGCTTCCCTTCTGTGATCTACAAAAGTCCTCCTAAGTCTTACTTACTGCCCTTGCGTAGCTATACTCATACTGTGTACATACTGCTTTCTGTTCTGTTTCTCGGACTTAAAATGAGTTTTCCTTACTGGCATAACCTATCTATTTTCAGTAGTTATGGCACATTACTCTGTATTGATGGACCCTACTTCGCTTAATCATTCCTCATTTGCTGGGAGTTTGGCTGTTTAATTTTTCAGTATTATAAAAAAAAAAAATGCTACTTTTGAACATCTTTATAAACATTGCCCTTTTTGTTTCTTTTTCCTTTTGATCATTCCCTTGGAATGTAATCCTTAAAGTGGGGTTACAGAGTCTAAGGACATAAAACATTTAAATAGCTTTGTTATGTATTGGCAGCTTGTTCGCCAGAAAAATTGGGCCAGTTTGCATTGCCATCAGGAGTATATGGTGTTCTTATTTCCATTATAGTTTTTGACAGAACAGGGGCTATAATCATAAAATATTTTAGGATATTTTACATTATTAAATTTTTATGTTTAATATTAACTTTTGGAAATTATTTGTTGACTTGTTTGGCAGCTCTTAGTGCAAATGTTGGACTAAAATAAAGTATGAGTTAGGCTTCATGGGCCTGGAATTTTCTTTTTCCTTTTAGCCTACTTAACTGCAAATTGATTGTTTAAACAGGGAGTAATAGGGAGAAAATGTCCTGTATTTGTCCTGTTTAAATTATCTTCAAGGAGTAAGCTTTTTCTTAAGAGAGATTTTTCCTATAGGATGTGTACACTTGCCAGAGACACAGAGAGAGACAGAGAGAGAGAAAGTGAGAAATCACCTCCCCCGGGTAGGTGGCCCCACTGCAGTCCCTTCTCCTCCATCCTCCTCTCAGGATTTTTGGGCACTCGCATACATGTACCCAGCGTGAGTTTCAAGCTGTCGGATCCAGGACCCAAACCACAGTCAACTAGTCCAGCGCCTTAACCACCATGCCACTTGGCCCCTAGGAGGAAGCTTTTGATATTTGGAAGCTGCTCATGCTTTTCCCTCAGGGTTTGACTCAATTATTCTTAAACAGATTGTTTTAAGATGAGGTACAAGAACAGGAAAAACGGGGTACATGTTGTACTCACACACCACCCACTGACTCTTGCTGTAGCCCCATAACTAGAGGCTGGTGGGAGTTGTGGGGTGTTTCGTGTCAGACCGTAAAGGTCCTGGGAGTAGGAGACTGTATCCTTCCTGTTGCTTCTGACTTTCCAGAGCCTAGAACAGTACCGGACACACTGGGACATCTAATAACTTATTATTATTTTGTAGAGGTAGGATTTTTGCTATAGGGCACATGTAGTTGCTGGAGAGACACAGAGAGGAAGTGAAAAGTCATGCCCCAAGGGGATGGCTATGCCTCAGCCCCTTCTCCAGTCTCCTCTTGGGATTCAGAACCTACATGCACATGCACCTGGCATGAATTTCAAGTTGCCAGACCTGGGACTGGAACCGCAGACACCATGTGGGAGTCCAGTGCCTTAACCACTGTGCCACCTGCTAGCCCCCGTAATAAATTATTGATCGAAAGAAGCAGACATAGGTTGATGCTGAGCATAACAGAATGAGTGAGTTTCTGTGCGTCCACACTGAAAACGCTGAAGAATGGATTTGTATAGAAAGCTGTGGTGCTGGGCCAGGCAGTGGGTATGGTGTTAAGGTGGCCGGATCTTATATGATCAACTGCGTTTCTAGACCTGGTAGCTTGAAAAACACGCTGGGTGCGCATGTGTAGTGTCCAAAGTGCCGAGAGGAGAGTAGCGGAGAAGGGATTGCATCGGGGCCATGCCCCTGTTGGGGGGGAGGGGATTTCTCACTTTCTCTTTGCCTCTCTCCAGCAAGTGCATGTGCCCTATAGCAAAAGTTTAAAAATAAAATTGTGGTAAGACCAGCAGATGGTGTACCAGTTACATTGCTGGACTCCCACGTAGCTGACTGTGGTTCGAGTCCCAGATCCAGCTGCCTAAAACTCAATGGACATGCGTGTGTGCCCAAGATCCCGAGAGGAGAATGGAGGAGAAGGGATTGCGGCGTGGCCATCCCCCCTGGGGGTGATTTCTCGCTTTCTGTCTTTCTGTTTTTGCTGTCTCTCCAGTGAGTGTACGTGCTTTACAGCAAAAACCTCTCTTTAAATAAACAAACAAATAAATTTTAAAAAGCAGAACTGTGATCAACCTCTCCTGCAGATGGGTGAGATGCCAGTAAACACGCCAGAAAGCCCCTGGAAGGTGAGTCCTGAAGAGGAGCATGAACGTAAGGACTTGAGGAGAAGCCACCTTGTATTCAGCATTGATCCCAAAGGCTGTGAAGATGTGGATGACACTCTGTCAGTCAGAACCTTAGGGAATGGTGACCTGGAACTTGGGGTCCACATCGCCGACGTCACACACTTTGTGCCACCAAATTCTTGTATCGACATCGAAGCCAGAACAAGGTAACCTGTGTCGCCAGCCCCCTGCTCGTTTCAGAGGTTCAGGCGACTTTCGTGTCTGTGTCATCCTGGAGATTCTTTCCAGAAAAACTAGTTGAAGCCCACTCCCCTTTTCCTTTAGAAAAATACTACTGGATCAACTTACCTTTTTTGTCCTTTTTCTTTCTTTTTTTTTTTCTTAAGAGAGGAAGAAGGGGAGAGAGAAAGATAGGTACTCTTGGCGAGGTCTCACCACATCACCCACCTCCTGCCCAGGTCAGCCTCCCATGCAGCCTCCGACACAGTGCACCTGACCGCACCACTGTGACTAGGCCCACCTGTGGCAGAGACAGAGAGAGAAAGCGAGAAAGCGCCCCATAGGGCTTCTCCGTATCTCCCACCTTTTAAGATTTTGGACACACACACACGTGCTTGGCATGTTTCTCAAGCTGCCAGGTCTGGGACTTGAACTACTCCTTTGGCCCTGTGGGATCCAGCTGCATCAAGTCATGGGCTGACCCACATTTTTCCTCCTCCTTCTTTTTTTTTTTCCTAATTTGCCAGAGGTTATATGTGGGGTGGAGGGATGGTGAGAAAGCGCTTGCCATGGGGGATGGATTTGCCACAGCCCCTTCTCCTCCATTACTCTCTCCTTTTGAGATTTTGGGCACACACACACATGTGCCCAGTGCATATTTCAAACTACTGGGTCCCAGACTAACTGCACAGTTTGCCATGTGGGAGCTAGTGGCCTTAACCACCACACCACACCACCAACTGGACTCAGTCCTGGACTCAGGTTTGTTTTTTTTTTTTCTGCAGGGCATGTACAGTCTCAGAGAGAGGGAGAGAAAAAACCACCCCCCAAAGGGACTTTCACCCGCAATGCCTTCTCCATTCCCCTTTCAGGATTTCGGGCACACACACACGTGCCCAGTATGCTTCTCAAGCTGCCAGGTCTGGGATGCAAACCACGAAGCTGGCCATGTGGGACCCAGCGCTTAACCTGCACGCCACCTGCTGGTCCCAGCCTGCCTATTTTTTTTTCTTTTTTTGGAGAGGTTTTTACTATAGGGTGCGTGCGCTCGCCAGACAGACAGAGAAAGAGAGAAATCACCCCCAAGGGGGGATGGCCACGCCGCAATCCCTTCTCCTCCATTCTCCTCTCAGGATCTTGGGCACGCACACACACGTGCCCAGTGTGAGTTTAAGCCGCCAGGTCCAGGACTCAAACCGTGGTCGACCCCATGGGAGTCCAGCGACATAGCCATTACGCTAACTGCTGGTCCCTGGCCTGCCTATTTTTAAACATGACCTTCTCACACATCGTTTTCTACTACACTGAAATGGGTTAAGTTTTCACGTAATACTCTATTTTACGTAAACACTGGGTCATTACACTCCAGTTTTTCTTACGCAGCTAAGATTCATGTTACTTTTTCTGTCTCACCTCAGTGGAGGGCGTTAAGCCTAAAGCAGCCTCACGTAGGAAAGTGGGAATGCGGGGATAGTTTATTACACTGTCTGCTGCACTTTATGGAATGGCAGCAGCCTGGGGGTGCCCACAGTCAGCAGCTCTGCCTCCCGCTGCTGAAGGTCGTGTCTCCTGCGCGTGTGTCATTCACAGGGCCACCACATACTACTTAGCAGACCGTCGCTTTGACATGCTGCCCTCCGTGCTCAGCGCTGACCTGTGCTCCCTCCTGGGAGGTGTGGACAGGTGAGTTGGCCGTCTTTATCTTCAGAATAAAGTGGCCCTTCTGTGACACCAGAGCCTCCTGCTCCAGCCTCTCTCTCCTTCCCCGTGGCCACCCCTGCTGTCCTGTCTCCAGGCAGCTGTGTCGCTGGCCTTCCCTCCCGCCCCCTGCCTCTTCTCTTCTTGTCGCTCTGTGCGGCTGCCTCTCCCGTGGTTGCTGGATGTCCAGAGTCAGCTGAAGTCTGAGACTGGCCAGGTCGCTGTGTGGCCGGGTTCCCTGGGTGGAGCTGTTTACTTGAGGGGCATGAAATTTTTTGTTCATTTATTTGGTGTAGTTAGAGTTCATTTCTCTTTGAAGAGGCACTGAAATCACACAGTCCAAAATTCACAGGCTCAAAGCCATATATAAATATTTTTAATTTGCCAGGGTGCACGCATACTCAGCAGTGACAGAGAGGGAGGGGAAGAAAGCGCCCCCCAGTGGGGCGTGGTCGCCGCAATCTCTTGTTTGCCGTCTCTCCATCCTCTCGGGGTGTGGGCACACACACTCCTGCCCTTCCTGTGTTTCAGGCCGTTGTGGCCAGGATCTGAACTGAAGTCGGCCATCTGGGATCTGGCTCCCTTAACTGCGAGGCCAGGGAATCAGCTCCCAAAATATATGTAATGAGGGGCCAGCGGGTGGCTCGGTGGGTTAAGGCACTGGACTCCTACAAGGCTGACCGCGGTTAGAGCCCCAGACCTGGCTACTTGAAAATGACCCTGGCCTCCTGTGCACATGTGCCCAGAGTCTTGAGAGGAGAATGGAGGAGACGGGATTGCAGCGTGGCCATCCCCCCAGGGGTGATTTCTCACTTTGTCTTGTTTGTCTCTCCAGTGAGAACATGTGCCTTATAGCAAAAATCTCAGAAAATCCTTTCATGTGTATATATGTGTGTGTAACGAGAGGCTCCTTCCTGTCACTTTCTCTCACTGGTTTCTTACCGATAACGGTTTCTTATACACACAGATACAGGCACGTATCATTCTTATACGAGTGGCATTATGGGGCCAGCCGAGGGCATGCTGTTAAAGTGGCTGGATCCCACACAGCCCTCTGCACAGTCGAGTCCCAGACCCAATGGCTTGAAATAGTACGTGAGGTGCGTATGCATCCACGCCTATAATAATCCCAAGAGAATGCAAAAGAAGGGATTGCAGCATGGCTATCCCCCCAGAGGGTGATTTCTTACTTTCCCTGTCTCTCTCTCTCTAGAGAGGGCACACACCTATTGCAAACTTTAAAAAGAAACAAAACAAGGACCAGAAGATGGCGTAATGGTTGTGCTGTGGACTTTCACATGGTTGACTGCAGTTCGAATCCCAGACCCAGTAGCTTGAAACTCACGCCAGGCAAGTATGCGTGCGCGCCTAAGATCCCGAGAGGAGAATGGAGGAGAAGGGATTGCGGCGTGGCCATCCTCCCTTGGGGGTGATTTCTCGCTTTCTGTCTCTCTCTCTCTGTCTTTCTAGTGAGTGCATGTACCCTATAGCAAGAACCTCTTCAAAAAAAAAAAGAGAAGAAACAAAACAAATGGTGGCATTACATGTATTTTTCTAGCACCTTTAAAAAAAAATTAACAATGTGGCTTGGAGATCATTCCATATTAATAACAGTTGCTTACTTATGCAGAGTGAGTACTTTCCTATCCCTGCTGTTACAGACAAAGCTGCACTGAACTACTTTGGCTGTAAGTCATTTCACGTTTTTTAAAATACAAATATCCAAAGGAGATATTTCTGGAAGTGGGATTTCTATGTTGAGGGAATGTGCATTTGAATTTAGATCAATATAATCAAATCGCCCTCCACAGAGGTTAGACCAATTATATTCCCGCCATTGGTGTATGATAGTGCCTGTTTTCCCAAAGCCTTGCCAATACGATGTGTTGTGTTTTTTATCTTTGCCAAACTTGAGAGATGAAATATAGCATCTTAGTGTATTTTTTTTTAAGAGGTTTTTGCTATAGGGTGTGTGTACTCATGTGCTCGCCAGAGCGAAAGAGAGCGAGAAATCACCCTCCCCCCGTGGGGTGGCCACGCTGCAATCCCTTCTCTCCATTCTCCTCCCCGGGTCTTGGGCACATACGCACAAGCACCCAGCGTGAGTTTTTGCACCTCTAGGTCCAGGACGCGAACTGCACTTGGCCATGTGGGAATCCGGTGATGCAACCACTCCGCCGTCTGCTGGCCCCTAACTCTGTCCTCTTCATTTAAGGTGGTGACTTAGCGATAGAGTGGTTGGGATGAGAAACTAGAAACTGGGCCAGCACCCTGCGCAGTGTCATTCCTTTCAAGTTACACTAAGGTCACGCTGCTGTGGGACGGCGTCCCTGATATCCAGGCACTTGGTGTTTGGACAAAGAACTGAATGAAACACGCCCGCAGTGAAGAGAAAGTGCAAGTGCACTCCTGACAAGTAGGGACGGGCCTGAGCAGGGAGTGGCTCAGAGCCCGGCAGTGGCATTCTGCGAGGTTTATCATTTCTGATCTAGGCCATGGGGGCTGATCATTGGCTGGGCCCGCTGACCCATCTCAATGGCTCTGTCAAATGTGGCTTCATCAGCAAGACACCCCCACTGGAAACCTCCTGCCCGCGTTACCTTGGGCAGGGAATTTCCTGTCCTGGTCGGGTCTTCTACCCATCTACCCACAGGGGCAGGTGCTCCAGTCCCTTGCCCGCCTCCATTTGCTGGCCTTCTCCTACCTCAGAGCTCTGCGCTGACAGCCCAGTGGTGACGTCAATGTTACGGTCTTGCAGGTACGCTGTGAGCGTGATGTGGGAGCTCGATAGAACCTCCTATCAAATTAAGAAAGTGTGGTATGGCAGAACCATTATTCGATCTGCATACAAACTGTTCTACGAAGCGGCCCAGCAGCTACTGGATGGAAACTTCAGCGCCGCGACCGACATTCCAGAACTCCGAGACTTGGATGAGAAGAGCAGACAAGCCAAGCTGGAGGAGTTAGCATGGGCGATTGGGAAGCTGACCGACATAGCTCGCCACGTCCGAGCTAAGCGAGACCAGTGTGGTGCCCTGGAGCTAGAAGGGGTGGAAGTCCGTGTCCAGCTTGACGAAAGAAAGAACATCCACGACCTCATCCCCAAGCAGCCCCTGGAAGTCCACGAGACGGTAGCTGAATGCATGATCCTGGCCAACCACTGGGTAGCCAAGAAGATCTGGGAGAGCTTCCCTCATCAGGCCTTGTTGCGCCAACACCCTCCTCCGCACCAGGAGTTCTTTTCTGAACTCCGAGAATGTGCTAAAGCAAAGGGCTTCTTTATAGATACACGGTATTCCTCTTGGGAGGGCAGAGGCACGGAGGGGAGTGCTGTACTTATGGAGCTTACGGTAGTTCTTAGAAGGTGGTGGCAGATCTTTGACCAGAAATGGAAGGCTTCTTGGCTCTCTTCATTTACTCTAATGTTAGGTGCAGAGAGTTAAAACAAGTTGAAGGTCTCTACCATGGCCTAGTGGCTAAGGGAGTTGGATCCCACATGGCCAGCCACATGGTTCACATCCCGGCCCCAGCAGCTTGAAAAATATGCTGGGTATATGTGCATGTATGCCCCAAATCCTGACAGGAAAGAAAAATGGCGGCAAAAAGACTGCAGCATCAACATGCCCCACTGGGAGGGAGGGGATCACTCTGACAAGGGCACTTGTTCGATGG